CGAACAAACCGACTGCCCAACAGCCCCACTGTCGGTAATGAGGACAAGAATGACCTTACGTTCACTGGACAGCGCGTTCGTTGGGTTCTTAGATGCACAGGGTCAGAAGAAGTATGTTTCGATTGATCAAAAGTTGTGTGTTTCCGGGTTGGAGGAGATTGTCATACCCAAACATCTGAAAGATGCCGATGTATGTGACAAGGCTTTGCATACTTCCTATCGTTCCTTGCTTGGTAGCATCAGTTGGCTTCAGTCGAGAACTCAATTTCAAGCGTGTTATCAGTTCTCTCGCTTGGCCTCTGCATCCGCAGCACCGGTCGTCGGTCACTGTAAGGAGTTGAACAAACTGTGTCGACAGATACGCAGTGAAGAGGTTGAGCTGCGAGTGTGGCCGGTGAAGGGTTCTCCAAGGATTGTTGGAATCCCTGACGCAGCCTTTCGCAACAACAGCGACAAGTCATCTCAGGGAGCGATGACCATTTTCATTGCTGATCAAAGGGTCAAGAATCGAAGAGACACCAGAGGCTCACTTGTCTTCTTCGAATCAACTAAGATTAAGAGAACGACCCTCAGCACCACAGTCGCTGAACTGTATGTGTTGATGAAGTGTTTTGGTACTTGCCAAATGCTTCGTGGTTTGTGGAAGGATATTAGCGGTTTAGATGCCGAGATTCACATGCGTACTGATGCTAACAATCTCGTTTCTACTGCTTCTACTACTCACTCACCCGAGCAGCAGGAAACCATTCACATGATCCAAATGTTGAGGAAGGAAGCTTGCTCAGGAGCCATCGCTGACCTTTCTCATGTTCGAACTGAACATTGTTTGTCTGACTGTCTTACCAAGCGCAGTGCGAATCCTAGAAACCTCCTGAACTCTGTTCAAACCGGGTGGTTGAAGGAAATCGATTCACATCCTCCTTTTCGTTCCACTTTTCGTTCCATGATTGAGCACAAAGCCTTTCTGAACGCCTGGCTCCGAAAGGAGTATGCTGTTTTAGGTTCAGTGCAACATGTCATGTTCATGCAGGAGCGGTTGTGAGTTGTGCGCTGCAGTAGGTGAGAGCTGTCAGTCAGTTCATGTGCATTCATGTTTGAAGAGTTGTTGGTCTCTTTTTAAATATGTGCCTGCTTTGCTCAAATTAGCTGGTTCAAAACTCAAGTGAGAAGTAGCCCACAATTTCCACTTCTGTTACCAGCATGGCTGCGGCAGGACACTCTTCCGCGTCTGACTCTGCTCCCTTGCAGGTCCTCTGGACACCGAACATGGGTTACCACATTCGTGTCTCCCTGGCTACTGGTGAACCGGAGTATGACGCCTACAAGGAGAGTGCTTCCTGGGTGACCTGCCGTGTACTTCGAACAGTTGAAGATGACGGCCAGGTCGCGTACCCTCCGGCGGGAGATCGAGCCTTTCCACGAAATGCTCCGATTGCTTCTTTGAAGCTCAAGCCAGAGAACGTTCCGAGGCATCCTGGCCAACAGGACGTTTCGGCGTACTTCCCACATAAAAAAGATGGCCGTAACTGACCTCCTGGAAGGCCAGCTCGCATTCCTGCAGCACGTTCACCTCTACGAGGAGAAACACAGGGGAACACACATTCTGCAGCCTCGCTTGCTGTGGAAGTACGAGTTCCTCCGCTGCTTCTTGGGATGCCTGCCTCGAGAAGACCTACAGGATTTGTCACGGGAGATTGACGAGATCGGCAGAACGAACCACAGCTTCACCAGCTGGTCTGTCAAGTCCTCGAAGTTGCTTTCAGCAGTCCTTCGGCGCAGCAACAATGTCGCTATATGGAAGCTTCTATCGAGGACCTTCACTCTCAGACGAGGCTACGATGCTTCGACTGGGAACCGAGGAAGTTCTTTGCTTTTCTCGCGGCTAACAGCAAGGGTCGCTTCAGCATCTGGGTTGC